ATATTACTTACTCCAAAATCAAGTTAACTTCCCAACACATAGCCCATTTGGCTTGAATTCTGAAAGTGAGCCTGAGTCTCAAAGAGAGCGCTTACTAAGGCAATTTGAGGAGGAGGCTCTTGCCAGTGGGAATTCTTTATTCAACTTTAACAAGGACCATAACAAATCGGAGTTTGTGTTTGTTAAAGACTTTCAAATTGAATGTGTGTGGGAAACTCTTTATGAGTACACTTCCATAACTAATCAAACGTTCAGAATTATGAGAAAATGACTAAGATAGAATCTGATGCAATGAGAACTAAACAAGGGCATCAATGTTAGAAGACTTGGAGACTGAAGCTTTGATGCGTGAATGGGGCTCAAATAAGAATTACTTTCGACATTCTCCACCTAGAAGCTCGGATGGGTTCGAGAGTCCAATTGATATGCCTTTTGAAGATCCTCAGCAGCTGCCTCCCCTTGCAGAAATTTTGTGTCCCTTTATCCAAACCAAAAATAGAAGATTTTTGTGCTCAATGAGCCTACACTTTCAAAAAAATGTCAAAAATGGGAGGAGCATAGTAATGCAGTGCCTAGTTTTGTGGTGGTTCCTGCTGAAATGGATTATGGTGTAACTAGCATAGTCCAGGGTCTAGCCTCTATTGGCATTGAAAAGCTCTTATTGCAGGCAAAGAAATTGTGTTTTTTGGAAGATATAATTGGGAAGACAATGCAACACATAGCGTGGAAACTTCATCCAGCCTGTGACTGGCCTGAGAGGTTTATTGTTACTATTTCAGCATTTCCATATGTTTTTATTTGTATGTGTGTTACTCATATTTCAACCTCTTGACAATTACACCGATTTTAACTGCTTAACATTAAAGACGAGTATGAAGATGCTGATGGTCTGCTGGGCATATCTCAAGCACTTGATGAACGTACGATGTTGGATTCCAGTGAAATTGATTATTATCTCATCACTGATTTCATTGTTGCGTGAGTTCTATTGTAAATGTACGATATCGTTAATAAATAATAAGTGGACCTAAGAGTCCGAATAATTGTTTTCACGAGAACCACTATTTAATTGTTGGTTTAACTATTCATAACTTCTATTTGAATAAAAACAATTAAATTTGAGTTTAATTTTATCCTAAACATTATATGCCTATGAACTAAATAAAAAGTGCACAAAACGACAATTATAGGGTTTTACTTGATTAATGAAAAGTGCTAAATTCATGAGTTCACTATAGCTATCCCCTTAATCTCAATCATTATATTCTTACAACAATCAATTATTGTTTACTTAATTGAATTCTTCTAAATTAATTGATTTACGTCTCTCGGGGTCAAACGAATTATATTCAATTAAGTCAACTTATTATAACTCTACGTGAATGAGGGTAAATCTTAATCACGAGTATGCAATCAACAAAAAATTCAATTAAGGGCCGTAAAATTAGTAAAAGCGTATCTTTACCTTCTACCTAGATTAAGATTTTTACTACACTGTGCAAACAAAACTCACCTATTGACTCATTACCGTTCAAAAATAATGACTAATTAATTCAAATTCATGAATAATAGATGTAAAAATAATACACAACAACAATTGAAGATACGCGTCATAATTCAAATTAATGTTCAAAAGTAGGTTAAAATATTTTGTCCCAACTAATCGTTTAGTTATACAACATGGGAG